TTCTTCATCGAAAGTGACAAACAGCTGACTGTCTATCAAAATGATCGCATCAAAGGTAAGTTCAAGTATGCGCTCAATTCGGACTTGAATGACATGGCGGTCGACATCACATTTAAATTCAAAAACAAAGTTTGCGATTATAGGAAGGAATTACTTACTTTTAAAACACTTTAATGTTTTTAATGTCATAACAAATTTGTTTGTTATTCTTAAATTAGTGTCAATAATTGTTTTTTTTGTATCAAACAACTGTTTTTACTCTATATTTACTTCTGTAGTACTTTTATTGAAACTTTTGTCAAAAATATTTTTATAAGTATTTATACATTTATTTAGTCAATGTGTGATTCACTTCATTATAGGTCAGAATTAATCAAATAGTTTGAATGATTTGTTTTAAAATCTCTTTTGTATGATACGATCGTTTCGAGTAAAGAAATAAATTAACCATTTATTCAATTGAAAGCTCTTGCAGTCGCTGTAGAGCTCCTGGAATTGAATTAAATTTATAATACAATTATTTGTTCATTTATGGTATTACTATAGTTGTGTTATACCTATTTTTATAAGCAGTTTGTGGTCTTTTACTTATTAATACATTAGAAGTAATTTCGTTGGACTTAGGGGTCGAAGGCTTTGGTTCATCACTTGTCTCATTCAAGAAAGGCATTCCTTGTACTGACAGCTGAATTGAGTGGTCATCCGATAGATTGTCAGAACTCGAGTCATTCAAGAGATCTGTTTTTATTAGCAGTTCTGGATATACGAGTGATTCTTCAAATCCATTGCCTAATGGGTCGAATCCATCAGTATTTTGTGAATCAATCATTTCGAGCCACTGTTTGTTATGAGCACAAAATTTCTCCACTTTTATCTTTGAGGCCCACTGGATGTCATATTCCTGTTTAGATTTTTATAAATTCAATATAAAATTACAACTAATATGTGGAGGAATATGTTTTATCATGGATTACCGCAATCACATCCAGAGTGGCGTCGCAAACCCTCTTAATCTCTTTATTCCTGTCGTGCATCAGATCTATGAGATATGCGGCCACTTCTGTACACATCCAATGAAAATATAATATATTAAATAGCAATCAAAATGACTTGAAATCAATTCTTACGGGAGTCTTTGACAATGAAATCTCTGGCTTCAGTATGTCTTATAAAGATATAAAAGGAATAAATAATTTGAATGACAATCTCATCGTCTTCTTGTTTAGCTATAATTCAATAAAACAAATGGAAGTTATTTAAAATATTATAACTTATATACTGTATAATAGTTTTAGAATAAAATTATTTGAAAATACCATTTAATAAATCAATTAGCAATTTAATTATTTGACAATTGATTAGATAGAGAGCACACTCTCTTTGGTGAGCAGCGGTTCCGATGAAAATAGCGATTTGAAGGACAATATCGTCTTCGGAATTGTTTCCAGATTTGATTCTCTGTTCAATCCATTCAAAGAGGTTGTGTTCAATGAATAGTGAATTCCAATCGATTTGAACTAAAGTCAGATTAGAAAGTACTGCTAAGCACTCGACGACCACCTCTTCATTATCAGTGGTGACCATCATTTTGACCAATTGTTTGTGAATATCCAGGAACAGCATTTTGATGGGGTCGTCGTGATGTGAGATATTCCGCAATAATTTCAATAAAAGTGAGTCTTTTGTATCCAAAGCTTTTGTAAATAATTGATTCGTATTCTGATTTCCACACATTAATTGAGCGTTTCGTTGATTCAGAGCTAAATTAATTGCCAACGAAATGGTTTCAAAATAGGTGTTTGGGTTGGGTTTTATCACTTTAGAGACAATTAAATTAATACATTCAGAGGAATAGCTGAATAATGGTTTCCATTTCGTTGATTCAGAGCTAAATTAATTGCCAACGAAATGGTTTCAAAATAGGTGTTTGGGTTGGGTTTGATCACTTTAGAGACAATTAAATTAATACATTCAGAGGAATAGCTGAATAATGGTTTCCATTTATCATTGCGACTGATTTGGTATAAAATGTTTAACACAGTCTGCGAGTGTCTGTCTTTACTGAGAAAAGTGATCAATTTTGGGATGAGTCCGGTCTTTATTAAGATAACTCTCATCTGATTATCAAACACGAGATTGTGAATCAATTTGAGAGTATTTGCCACTAAATTCTCGTTAGTCAGTGATAAAAGTGGCGCTAATTTCTCAATAATTGAAAGTTCTTTCATTTGATTCTTATTCTCCACATAAACGGACACTTTCTTAAGAAACGTGACGACAACTAAAAGCAATTCTTGTGAATCCCTTTCCAATGTCTTCACTAATAAACCAATGATTCCTTTGTTAATCATTTTGATCTCCACTTTATTGTCTTCCGATAAATTCAATAGTAAGTAGAATACAATTCGTAGCAAATTGTTTTGCTTTCGTATTAAAAGTTGATAACGTTTTAGACTTTTCTCAAAGTCTGACTGAGCCGTCAGATTGTACTGACCATCAGCTAAGGCTCGCTTTTCATTGAGTTCTTGAACCCAACTGTCCTCTCGGGCTAACTCGCACTCAACCAAATCAAAACAAATTGAGCCCACTTTGAACTAATAGAGACATGAAATATAATTACATAATCATTAAATTGAACGATAATTTCCAAATCATTTAGAAATGTATGTCTCACTTGACTTATGGTTGAATGAAACTGTGAATAGTTTGAGAAGCAGGCGAATATAAAGGCTATATTTATTGCCAACTCCAATGACTTCTTCCCATCCTCTCTAAGAACTCGAGCCAACGCACAGATGAGGGTCTCATTAGTCGTCAATTCAATCAGATTCTCGCTATTCTTCGAGAGTTTCAGAATCAGAAACGAAGCCTTGATTTTGTCGGCCAAGTCTTCGTATAGAAGTTCGATGTATTGGTCGAGTTTGTCGATCACTGCCTCTTCTGTGACTTTCATTTCAGATTCCTGTCCATCGATTAACATATTTCTCATTCTGTCTGAAAATGCTGTTTGTGGTCGACTACTGGACACTTCCTTACGAGTCCTTAGGTATTGCAATAAAGTGGTCAATTCATTGTACTTTGCGGTCGGAATCAAATGGCATTTCTCGATAATCTCTTTCGCCAATTGCTTTATATCCGTCGATTCGTTCAGATTTTTCAGACGAATTCTTATGGGAATAAAACATTTATTCAATCATATGTACTCACAATTCCTACTATAGATTTGCATTTTCTAATATTCTTAAGAGAATTGCATCTATATTTACACATTGCTATTGTCTGTAGATTTTACTCAAAAGCTATTTATTTAAATAAAATATAATAAACATAAAGAATTATTATCTTAAACACTGATCTAATAAACACTGCATCAGAAAATACAATAAATATCTATTTTAAGAATATCTGCAGAGTATATAAAACTCGAGACTCACACTAAACAGTATATAACTGTAATTCTAGTAAAATAACTATATATTGATATAAATAATGATTTCAAAGCAAACAAAGTGTTTGAGACATGATTAGTGAGCTCTGGCTCTCACTCTATCGCCTCCACAGCATCACAGATGAGGCGCTCATTCACTGCTCATACAGTGATTCCCATAGAAATGAGTGAATATTCAATGATAACATCTGTGGGCCCATCGATGGCACAGCATATCTTACATTTTCTGACACTCGCGGCTCTCCTCCAACATCGTGTCCCCCAAATCGCCCACAAGAGAGGCCTCCAACTCATAGCTGATGACAATCGCACTTTCGGTCGGATGTGCGTCAATGGCATCGGTCCGAAGACGTCTTCACACAAATGCACAACACATTCAGTAATTCAGGCATCGGTGGTGATAATAGGCATACCTTTGAATGCAGTTCAAGTCATCCAAATCCATGTCCGCTTTAATTATAGAGATGTCATTGAAAATGCATTTTCTAATCAATCAAAGCATCGTTTGTTGTGAACAATGCATCGTTGCTATGGAAACCTCATCCAAAGTGCAATTCATTTGCGAAAAAGTTATTCATTTTTATTTCAATTACAAAAATATACATCCAATTAATTGCAATACAAATCAATTAAATTAATATCAATTTAACAATCAATTAACTTGAATGAGTAGTTCATGGAGTGTTTGGCATTAATAGAAAAGACATTATAGTTATTGGGAATCAATAGTTTTGAGGATAAGAGCGCCGATGTCTAGAATCTGGAGGTATTCATCGGCGCCATCGAGAAGTCGTTTATCATTCAAAGCGATTCTTTCGCTGATAACTGACTTCTGAGTGTCCGAAAGCAATAACTCATCGCAATCTACGAGCCATTCATGTGTTTGCAGCAGAAACTGAGCGCCAGAATAACCGCAATCAAAGAGTTGGGCCACAAATTCAGTCAATTTCTCGTATGATTTCGAGCGGCAAATGAATATAAAGTCTTGAATATATTTGTTGGGTATATAACCGGAGACATCGTGTATGTCATCGATGGTCACCTCTTCGTCTGGTTCTTTGATAAGAGCCGAGGACTGCAATAGAGTGATAGCTCGTCTCAGATCTCCTTCGGAAAGTGAGACCAACTCCGAGAGCACTTCATCCTTAATATGAACCGATTCTAAGTCTGATATTTGTCTCAATTTCTGTACCGAAAGCCCAGAGTCTAAGAGTTTGAACCGAAATACAGAGCATCGGGAGACCAACGGCTCTATTATTCGCGACACATAATTGCAAATCAAACAAAAGCGAGTCGTCTTCGCCTCCCTTTCCATAGTCCTCCTGAGGGCCGACTGGGCGTCGCGTGTCATTGAATCGCATTCGTCAAGAATTATCAGTTTTATGGACGGAATCGTCTTCGACGTCGCCGAAGACACCGATTGCTGAGCGAAAGACTTGACTTTTTCACTGAAAAATATAAATAAAACAAAACAATCAATAAATGAATGACTGAATCAACTGTGGAAGAGATGCCCACCGAATGACACCAATCCCTCTCTCGTCGGAAGCGTTCAGCTCTAAGACACGGCTCTTGTATTGGCTCTGAAAGAGCTGTTTAGCCATCGCTATAATAGTGGACGTCTTTCCCGTCCCCGGCGGACCAAACAGCAGAAGATTCGGTAATTCATTGAAGCAATCGGTTGTCAAATACTTGGAGAGCATTGATATGACATGGCTTTGATGGACCACTTCCTCCAGAGAGTTGGGCCGATATTTCTCGACCCATGGCTTCAGAGCCGCCTTCATGTCTGCTCTGAAGAGACACTCATCGACGGGCTGTTCGTCTGATGGGTTGGCATTTGGTTTGTAGTTCTTGAGGAACGCTTCCATCGGTGACAGACAATAATCAACTGATTAGTGATTTGAATGCAAAACCAAATCAACAAACAATCAAAGACTCAATGAATGACACAATAATTGGCGGCAATAATAGGCCTCACGAGTGACCCACAGATGGAGCCATCGGTTGATGACATCACTAGTGGTGTCCACACAGAGCTCCAGTCTGTTTGGTCTCGAGTTCAGTATTCTTGACAAGAATTTCTTGTACTCTATTCACCACTTCTTGGATGACCCCTAAGAAGTGGATCAAAGAGATTGTGATGAATCACACATTGAGTCCATCATAAGGGGTAGCAATGGTGAGAGACAAGGGATGTACTGAATGGTGATGTTCGCGGACTGTGAGCTCGAGCCTGAGTTGTGGACAACTTGTGGTGATTACTGTTAGAGACAGTGTTGTGAGGAGTGAAGCAGTGATGAAGTGGTGATCAGTGAGTGTTAGCAGTGAAGTCATGTCCAACACATCCAACACATCCAACACATCCCACACAATCACACCAACACATTGTGATCAGTGATAATCACCTCAATTGATGGCTCACTTGTTCTCAATTGACTGCTTTCAGTGACTTGTGTTGAGTGCATGTGATCTGTGGTGAGACACCAAGAAGTGGACAACGAATCCAACGAATTGGTGTCAAATTGAGTGGATTTGTTCACCATACAACACTTCACTAATCAATACATTATAAGAGTTGTAATCAAAAGTGACACCAATTATGGCCAAAGACTTCAACGAAGCCTTAGATGACATCAATTTCGCGGAACAGAGGTTTGGATCCATTAATGGATTCTTTGATTCAATTGTCATATTGTGTTCATTTCATATGAATATTACATATAATTGTTATTCAATTGTTATGTCAAACAATAAGACTAAATGAGAATTACTACTAATTTACATGTAAATGAATACTGAATACTGTATTATTAATTGGTATCATATGTATGCTATATATGCTAATTACAATTAATTCTATGTATAGCTCGTTGAACATTGCTTTCAATTAGATATTAATGTGTATTCTATACAGCAATACATTTGTATAATCAATGAACAAGTATTGCAATTGCAGTCTACTTTTGCAATTGTCTTACTTATTCAGTTCATATAAATTAATATAAATTCTCAATCATGTCTCAATTATGTACTATTAAGATATTAATATTAATATTTGGACTCTATTTATCATTTCACGCTATTTCATTCAATACTGTGCTATATATGTGTACAGAATATTCTATAGTTCTTAAAAGCATTTCGATTCTGTTTTCTTAAAAATATTTCGAAAGTGTTTTA